ATCAAGAAATACTTGTTATATTACCTTGTATTTTTTTTCAAGAAAAATAAAAAAATGTTGTATTATATTTTTTATCTTTATCTTGAAAAGCCTTTTATTTTTTATTTTTTCTAATTTTTTACAACAGTATTTTCTACCTTTGTTTATTTTTGTTGTCAAAATTTTTTTTTATGCCTTTTTTTTTATTTTTTTGCAAGAAATACTTTTTATATTACCTTGTATTCTTTTACAAGAAAAATAAAAAAATGTTGTATTATATTTTTATCTTTATCTTGAAAAGCTTTTTGTTTTTTTTACAACAAGAAAAGCTTTTTATTTTTTCTATTTTATTTCAAGCTTTTTATTCATTATCTTGAAAGGCTTTTTATTTTTTATCTTTATCTCTATTTTTTATCTTTATCTTAAAAAAATGTTGTATTATATAAACGACGATGCGCAGGGGGTTCGAACTCAAGACGCCCATCTGAAATTCAAGGTTGTCAACCAACACCACCACATCTTCTGATGTGATTCATTAGCTTCTATAATATAATACATATTCAATCATCTTGCTTGAATGGGTTTTTGTGGGACTTATCCCACATCGAAGGATGAGTAACCTTTGTTCTCTATAAAATGCTGTGTACTAGTCCATCAGCTGCGCGTGTAGAAAAGAGGGGGGCATACGAGTGAGGTGAATTAGCACATGTGGAAGATTTTGAGGTGCCACGTGTCACTCTCGTGAGGCTGCTACGTGTCACTCTCGGTGAGACTCGCGATTCACTATTGGGAATCGCCCGGTGTTCTCTGGACACGGGCGATTCCCATTTTTTTCGTGGAATCGGCTCGGTATCAGAAGATTCCCGAGTCGAACCGTGCTAGTCCGGCTCGACTCGGCGAGTTTTTAAACACTGGTTGGAAGTAACTTATGCAAGCGGGATAACCAAGGAACCCTTATAAATTATGAAAGTGGCGGTTGCAATTTTGGAGGTCTTTCCTGCCTCTTTGTGCTTGAGGGTATGTTTGACAAAACTGAATTTTAAAATTCAGATTTTCTAAAATTTGAATATAGGCATTGCTAGGTTTTATATTAAGATTATCTATTAGCTGTATTCTATGTTTTTTGGTGCATGTTTGACTGCCCGCATATATTTGAAAGAGAAACAATGCTCTTTCGTCTCTAGGTTATCTGATCTTAGTCTTCAACCAAAGGTCGATTGAGTTTTTCACCGCAACCTTTATTTTAAAATGGGTAGTGCTAAAGCTTGAAATCATCCGAGACACTATAATGCCGGTCTTGAAAAAGCTTGTCATTTGGGTCCCTTTATTTTCCATCTGCCATTAAAGCTCAGAGCTCAAGCTTTAACAAAGATAGAAGAAGAGCAAATGAGCATAAGAGTGAAACCTTGATCTTTATAGAGAGAGAGGCTGGTTTGCTTTCTCTTGCGATTCACCATGCTTTCTTTGGCGTTCCACTATGAGAGAGAGAGATTGAGATTGAGGGGGCGATCCAACATGAGAGAGAGAGATTGAGATTGAGGGGGCGATCCAACATGAGAGAGAGAGATTGAGATTGAGAGAGAAGGGAGGGTGTCTTTGTTGAGAGGAGAGAAAATGGGGGAGGGGGGGGGGGAGAAAAGAGGGAGATGATTGGATGAAAGAGGCAGAGAGACACAATAATTTTAGGAGTAGAAATCAAATCCCTCAAAATTAAGCTACAAGTTGAAAATTTGGAGATTCAGATATTTGGGAGTCATCTTAATATTAAAAGTTATGATTTGACCCTATCAAACAAGGCGTGTAAACTCATAGGATTAGAATTACATAAGATTCTATATTATCCTTAAATATTAGAATATTAGGTTGCCATCAAACGGATCTTGAAAGATCAAAATAGTAGATGTAACCCCGTATATTCCAATTGCTAACTACTTTGTGCCCTTAGTTTATGATAGAAACAATAAAATCTCAGTAACTTCTTGTTAATTTAATTCTTTTAAAAAATTCTCATGGGGATATTGAACTTAAAATTGATATATCAGCTAAAATCTAGTATTTTTTTTTTTTGAGAATGACCTAAAATCTCATAAGCTTGAATAAGCGCAACTTAGAAGAGTTAGAAGAGATGGATCGTTGGCATTGTTTGGTCATTTCCATTCTCAATAGGACTGTACAATCTCAAAGTGTGGAGTTTTGAAGAAAAGCTTTTTGATCTCTTGTGTCTTGCTTTCTGGGTATTCCGGGAATGCTGATGATAAATGCTCCTTTGGTTTCTCCAATATATATTGTTGAAATGGATCTTATGAGATAAACTGGAAATGCTGAACATATTTTCCAACTTTTAATCCCCAAGGGATTCTTGCATTGTGAAATTCCTTATTGGAGGTTTTGTGGTTGCTGAAGGTAAGGTAACATTATCTCTACCCTTCATTGACAAGTAATGTTGATGTTTGACACTTCATTGCTTTCAGTACCTCAAAACTTTGTACTTTAAGATCATTGTACAGGTCAAATATGTCCTTGTATTTGTTAATGAATTTCTTTTATTTTTCGGAAATTTCTTTAGTAGATTGTATTTTGTATATACTGTCTGATATTTTAAAAAGATTCCTTTATGACAGAATAAAGAAAAAATACAATATATTTTCTTATTTTCATATTTACTGTATCTCATATATTATAATGAAAACCTCATTGGGTTGGCTTGCTTGGTAACTAGGGTCATATCTGTTGTTGAGACTCATTATGTTGTTGTTTTAATGCTAATAGAATCCTATTAAATGCTTTTTGGTAAGAGTGAGGGGCCGAAAGTTAGCTCCTGAGCAGTTACCCCAATTCCTCGCATCCCTAATCTGAGAATGGTTTAAAAAAAGGCTGAGATTCATTGAGTCTCATCCCAAAAGCTATGAACAGCGACTGGACTGTACGAGTTAAAAACTGTGTATGGGCTTTCTCAAGTGTGATTTGCAGAGTTGAAAACTTGGGCAGTTGAGTGGACCTAGGGAAATCCTGGGTTGGATTGTTGAGTTTCTAAACCATGAGATCATACGACGTGAAACCAAGAGCTATAGATTTCTGCTGTTATCTGTGAAGGATGTAACTGCCACAATACTATCCGAGACGCCTAGTTTCTAGGAGTATGTACCTCAATTTTATGTTGTAGAATTTCACTCTGGACCTTCACTTAGTTATTTACATTTTCTCTGTGAGGTTAGTTTTTAATCACGTTATGTTCTGCTTCAGCATAGTACGGCTGTTGGATAATTCAATATTCACATAGAGAGCAAGATGTGGTAGTTCCCGTTGCAAATTCCAGGCTTTATTTTCTATTGATATCCATAAAGAAGGGTTTGATTATAAACTACGAATTGCTGAGCATGAAGACATGGAAGAAGGCAAAAAGATGATTCTAATTTTCTTGACTGAGTTCCTAGTGCAGGGAGTCAACCTTATACTCTTCTTCTTTCTCGGCTTCGCATATTTACTTTTTTTCACCATTTTTCTAATCATTTTCTTAGAATATAATGGTAATCTGTTCTCTCAAATAAATAAATAAATAATGGTAGTCTGCATTTGAGCCATGCCATTTTGTTTTATGTAAATTAAACTTCTCTTAATGCAGTACAACCGCTATGTTTATTTAGATTCGGGCTTAGATCTTATGATGATATTTTTGCTCTTGATGGAATGAGTGTCTTTATTCATGGCTTTTGTTTATGCAATTACAGAAATATGCAAAATATGTTGGGCTGAAGAGAGATTTCCGCCTTGTAGTGAGAGGAGTTGCAGCCAATATGGTTAGTGTTGTTAATGGATCTGGTATGTATTAAGATCAAGACATTAAATGACCTGCCAGATTAGAAATATGTAAGGTTAAGGTTACTATACTTTTCTATTTGACAGTAAGTATACTAATGGGTACTATGTAAATATCAATCTAAAATTTTGAATGCTCATAAATTTGATGTAGTTTTTTTATGATACCGAGTATCTTAAGACAATCTTGTGCAAATATAAATCTCAATTAAAACTCTCTTGTGGGATTTGGGCACTGCCATGTTTTCCAACAGATGGTGAACTTACCACCCTACTTTGGAAGCATGCAGTCATAATAATGCTCAATACTTAATATTGTGCCATCTGCCAGTTTTAATGGCACCTTTAGAATCATTTATAACTGTTTGGAATTTAGTATGTAGTCCACGGACTCATTCTTCTTCAATAGGAAATAAAGTATGCATTAAAAGAGTTGGTTACATGTGAAAGATGTTGACATCCCAATACATTGCAGAAACACCCAAAACATACTGGTCCCTGGGCTACCCCCATAACACTCTATATTAGCTAGTAACCCTCTAATACTTCCATTCCTTAATCTGGGTATCCCTTGAGGAATGATAAGTGTTGGCTTATCTGATAATGCACGATCTATCCCTTCACAGGGCTCCTCCTTTTTTACATTCCATTTGGTTTATGGTTCACTTCTTCAGAAACTATTTGCCCATTTTTTCTTTGTATGAATCTTATCAGTACATCAATATGCTTCTGAGATTGATGAATGGTGTGCCACTATATCAATTACCTTTCTGTGCTGCACTTGTTTTTTGGGAAGTTAAGGTCATCCATGTTCTCCTTGAGTTCTCTTTGCTCCATTCCAATACCTTCCCTCGATATGGAATTTATAAATTGGTAAATGTATAGATATTGTCCTTGCTTAGACTCAACTTTGTTGTGCCAAGTGCTTTGCGCAAAAGATATTATATGTGTGCTAATAAATATACGCAGCATGTCTTGAATGCTAGAGTAGCATGTGTATCCTAATGTATTGGCACGTTATGCAACATATATTTTGTAGCATATATACTATGTATCCATAGGATATCATGCCTAACTTCGAGGTATTCATGTTTGTATGTGTGCCATGGTATCTCGTATGTCTAGTGTGTGTATATATTAATGTATACCGTACACTAGCATGCACATAAACAGAGACCATACACAATGCTTGCATACAATAAACATGCATATGCCAATGTCAAAATGTGGATAGTTTTATCCATATGAGAGCCCAACACAGGCACATACACACATGTATGATGAGGGCAAAGTGGAGATTTTTCCAGGAGAAAAATGAATGGTATTCTTTCTGTGCAAGAGTTTCCTTGTTTAAATACATTGTCATATGAGAGAGCATGTAGTATATGTATTGGTGAAGGGAGTTCAAACTCACTAGGCTTTTTCCTAAAAAGAGCTATCCAAAGGCAAAACAACTAATTGGAAGATCATGGTTAACCTGCCCAGAGAAACAGTGTAGCAAGCATGTAGGAATGGAAGACGGTCCTTGTTTGGCACTGATGAAACAAGGAATTAACGGTCGTTCTTAATAGAAGATATTAGAATTATTATAAAGAATATGATACCATCTCAAAATCAAGCCACCGTGAATTGTTCAGATTGATCTTGTGGAGGACATGAGAAGAGTCATGAGCGGAGGACCTTGGTTTTTTTGGTGGCTGATAGATGTAGTTTAGAAAGTACAACATGCAACCAAGCCTTAGAGCCCACAAGATAAACTCTAGCCCAATTTGGATTAGAATGCCTAACTTCCTTTACTACCTTTGTACACTGGATGTTTGGGTTACGTTGTAGTATCGAAAGGCAAATTGTCGTCAATGGATAGTGCCATAAAAGTCTACAAACAAAGTGACTGTGCCGGGGTTTGTGTAGATGTTCAACCTGAATCTACCTTCCCAACTGCAGTATGAACACATCAGGCAAAAGATAAAGCTTTCGCTAAAAAAATAGAGTATGAGTGAGTACCCATTCTTCTTGCAATGCATGGCTCTCGGCCACAACTCCTTATGATGCCCCAAAGCCAACTCTTATTGTTTGGGGTTATTTTGTCTCAAATAAGATGTCACCAGACTCAAGGAGTGACGATGTCCAGCCAAATAAATTCTCAACACGATAACTGCCACAATATCGAAGGTACCACTAGAAATGGCTGCAGTGGGTAAAAAACAGTGTCATAATAAATCAAAATATGAAAATCCCGTGAATTTTATGAAAGGAAGCTCCCTGCCAAAAACGAGAAAGATCCAAGCCCAATCATGCCTAAATCACCAATCGGACGTTTCAAAATGAGGCATTGTCAAACTTGGGGCAAAATGTATCAGAATCATAATCTGACCGTTGAATCCTTAATCGAGGGCACCTCGAGGCTACCCTCTGAAAACCAAGCCAATCCGATGCAGGATGACTGAGATAAGGCCTGATGAAGCTCAAGTGTCCATCTCACAACATTTATCAAACGTTTGGAGAAAGGGCACGGTTAAATCCATGTCAAATTGGGTCTCAATAGCGACCAGAAGGATCTAAACCTCAATCCAAGGTCCCATGTGATCATTGTCCAAAAATCAGACCGATTTGACGGGGATAACCAAAATATGGCCCGACAAAGCTTCAATCGTCTATCTCATAACACTGATCCAAGGCCAATTTACAAAGACTCATGATGATAAAAAAAGCTAAATGGCCCAAGAAATTTATGGATTAAAGGTGTTAATATAACAAGGCTACAATCCAAATTTAAGTCCAATTCGAAATCAGATGAAAGAGATTTATCCTCTCGAACGCCTTGAACTGCCGACAGGTTCCACTTAAACTGGTTTAACTTTACAAAAGGACCCCAAGAAATAAGTGGCCAATGAACTTCAAATTTTCATGAGAGGAAGGTGATGATGAGAAAAGCTTTTGGTAAAAATTTCAGCCAAATTTGATGTTCAGAAGTGCCTTTTTTGGCACCATCTTTAGCGCAACATGAGGACCACAAAAATAAGAAAATAGGCTCATATTGTGTCTGTGGATCATCATCTTCATGGGAGTTGCAGCAGCCCATGAAATTTTAGGCCAAAATTCAGAGGCCATATCTCCCAATGCTTGCAGCCAAATAGGCCCAAATTTCAGTATGTTGCTCCTTGGTACATGGACTTTTCATCCATTTATGGTTCGATGGGTTTCTCTACTAAGATCGAGGTCGAATCAAGCCAAAAAGTTGGTGGTTTGCAACAAGTGATGTGTATTAGTCCCCATGACCTCCACCCACTCTTGAGCGATATATAGTGATTCTAGCCAAACTTTTGCAGGGAGCGTCCCAACTCAAAGATTAATGTATCCATGTATGGAAATCCACAATCAAAAGCCAATTCAAGGGGCAAATCCTATTGAAAAGTTCCCTAAATTTGAGACTGTAGTTGCCTAAAATAGTAAATACTAAAAGGGCCATATCTCTCTAATACAGCAATGTCTTGTGCTGAAATTTCTGAAAACGTTGGTTTTGGGGTCTTTCACAAGAATCCACAAGCTGATCGCTAAATAATGGCCAAATTTGGGCACAATGAGGAGTTGTAGAAGTGGGTTGCAATATTATCGAAAGTGAAAAATCGAAACTCAAAATGAGTGAAAATTGGCGAATCACAGACAATTTTCGCGCAAATTTGTTGCAAAATGATCATTGTTGATTGCCCCATGATTCTATGGTAGAAATTTCAGTCGAAATGGCGCAAAAACGAGTGAAATCGAAGGATTTTTGTATGGGCTAGAGAGAGAAGGCCATTCAAGGACATTTCATTATAATGTTTTAAAGTTTGGATGTTCGTTTTGGTCATTTTCAGGGGTAGTTCGAGTTGAATTTTGATAATCCACCGATTTTTAGCCCTATTTTTTATTTTCTACCTACCATATTAATGATTATCCACCCATGTTTTCTCATCTCTATATAAATACACTTGAGCCTCATTTTGAATGGTTGGAGAATTAGGCCCTAATCTAGAGAGTGTGGCTCCCCGGACCCCTATTATGAGTAGAAGCCTTCGAGCTCCAGGTTTGATTACTCACTTTGATCCAAATATTTTGAGCGTGGGTAGTCACGCTAATGTCCAAGCATGGGTAGCCATGCTCGCAATTCACACGCGATTCCTCAAACCCTAAATGGGTAGCTGTGCTGAGGGAAATATGGGTAGCCATGCTGCCGGTAAAAGGGGTCGTGCTCAATATCGCATGGGTAGCTGTGCCAATATAAAGCAAGGCCTACAACTCAATCCAAGTATGATCAAATCCTCGTGTTGCAATCTAATGATCCCCAGACAATTGCATTTCCAAGCCAAAGACGACAAAAAATAATTCCAATTCGGCCGCAAGTTTACCAGCATATGCCAAAACCCTATCACCTTAACCGGTACATCAAACGATTCAAACCGCACCTATTCCTATACCAACCCAAGCCCAAGCTGCTTGAAACATGGTGTTTCAAAAAATGGATGGCTAGGCGTGCTCCTTTTCATGTGGCGCCAACCCTTGGTTGGCGTCGAACCTCAAGGGGCAAGTCACCCCATGAATTCGAAAGCCGTCATGTGCAAGTGCTGCCCAGCATTCACATGAGCACAGGGGGCAGACCTGCAAAAGAGCAGCGCTACTACCTATTTGATCTTTTCGAATTCAATTATTTCGCCAAGGGTCAATACCAAAGCTCTTCTAAAAAGAAGAATATCAGCGAGCTTATCTTTGGGGGCACGTAACTAGCGTCTTGGCTAAGTAGTTATGTGTAGGGGTTCAACTCTCAAAGAAACCTAAAGTGACACCGAAAGTGAAAGAGTCAAAATAGCTGCTTGAATTAAATTCTTTCTTCCCTTTGACCTTGCCACAAACCTGGGAGAGAGGGGACACGATGGGTAAGATGTCTTGCCACGTGGTCCAAATGCATGAAACTGGCGAAGCTCACCCTCCTTCAAACGCACAAACTGCTGAGCCTCGAGTTGAGG